TTTAAAGAGTCGTATCCTATAAAAATTCTTTTTGAAGAACTTTTCACTCATGAAATTTCCTTCTGCTCCTGTATCGATGAGGGCTTCTACTGGTACATCGCCAACCAGGACTTGTATAATTGGTAGCTGTGAGTTTTTTACGATGACTGTATTTTAGATGTCTATTTGAGGGTTTTTCTAAAACTTCCGGGGTCTGGACCCTCCCTTTCACAGGCCCCTCTAGTCGTTTAAAGCTTTCCTTTCAATCTGTGTCTTCTGGGTACGCGGATGTTTATTTTCAAATTTCCTTTTTGGGCCTTGACCTTCGAGTTTCGATGCGTTAGCTTGATAGTTCTTTTCCCCATATGAGCGATTTCCATTTCTTGTTTCCTCCTTCCTTCTGGTACTTTGAGAATATGTTTCCCCTCTCGCTCTTTCCGCGATTCTGCGATTTTGAAACTTCACCGCCAATTCGAAAAGTTCCTGCAATGTGGTTGGGTTTCTAATTTCAAAGTAGTCTTGAACAGCAGGTAACAATCTTGGTAATATTATTTCAATAATCTCCGCATCGGGTTTCTTGTCATACAGCATATCTGTTAGCTTGATTTTTCGTAAAATAAAGTCCGTCAATTGTGCTGTATCCCGTTGATAGAAACTATATAGCTCGGCTTCCAGCCGTGCGCGATCTTTCACTATGGGGAAGGCCTTTACTAACGATTTTTTGAAATTTTCAAAAGTATACGTCGGGCTTCCAAATTCACCTAGAAGAAATTTGCCTATATTTTTCCACCATAGCGCGGCCTGTCCTCTTAGTGCTGATGTGGCAATAGCAACTTTTTGTCTTTCAGGCACAGGATAGAGCTGAAAGTGGTTTTCTATACCTTCTAAAAATACGGACACCGAATTTTTTCCGTCGAAATAGACGTTTGGCTTGATTGATGCTCTCAACGTCTGGACCAGGTATCCAAATCCTTCTAACTGCGTTGTCATTTCTTGGTGTTGTCCAGCGGCTTCCATCCAGTTTTCGGCCATTTCAGTTCGATAAGTGTTCGGGCGCCAATATAACGTTGCGCGCCTCTAACTAGCACGCAACCAAGAGGTGACTGTGAAAGCTTGTATAAACCACAGAGTCTTATAAAGGGTTTAAGTCCCTTTTTATTCAACGTACTAATTTACAATTGCGTCCTCTTGACGCTTACAAACTTTGCCAACTAGGCAGTCAAAAAAATAATAACCTGAAAAGAAATAAAGACAAGATTCTAACTACGAGGCTCTCTAAAATAACTAACTCACCGCGTTTACGAAAGCCGCAGCTAATTCAGCAGACTTGAAGCTCACTGGAACAATTGCAACTACTTCCCGCCAAGCACATAGGCCGCAACGCGGGGTTCTTTAATTCTCGATTTCTACCTCCGCGCTCGCGAAGTAAGAATAACACTCTCTCACCGAACTTGTTTCCTTCTATTTAAATCATACTACTTCATCTGATAATTTGAATGCTTGCGCGTTCTACTCAAATTTACATATTCTGGCATTGGCAGTTCCAGGGTAAAGTAAGGCTTGACAGGAAAGATAGTTTAAACTTAAAATAAATGTTAGTTAAAATAAATATAAACCCTACAAGCTTTCTTTTAATATTCGTCACGCGCTGCACTGCGCGAGAAATAAAACCATTTAATTTATAATTGAACTAACATTAGCTTTTTAAATACCAAATTCGTAACACTGCCCCCTTCCCAAGGACTGCACGTCCCGGGCAGTACAATCCCTGGACAGGAAGCCAAACTTACAACTAAAGGTATAAATGCAATAATAAGCATTACATTACAATAATAAACAAATGAACAATAAATGCAATAAATAAAGTAAATCAAATGCTATCAAATACAAATCAAATACTAAATGCAAATCAAAATACTAAATACAAATCAAATCAAATACACATTTAAAAACAAAAAGGACCATGGTTTTATACTATTTACGTTTATTTACATTACGTACTATGCCCATAGTAATGAGCTAACCTGTCGTAATGAACGACTTTACGTTTAGAGTTCGAAGACTTACGGATCCGAACCACGACGTCATTCAGTCCGTTCAGCACTGTATATGGACCATCCGAAGGTGACTGTAATTTAGGACTGAGTCCTTTTCGTTGAATCGGGTTCCACAACCACACCTTGTCTCCTTTGTTCGATCTATGTCTAGTAGCTCTCGTGTAGTATCTGGACTTCACTTTCTCCGTCGCCAGGTTGACTCGCTTTCGTACGGAACCATGCATCACTTCAAAACGGGCATGGACATTTTGGATGTATTATTCCTCAGGCGATGAAGGCGCATCCGTATGTCGATCAAACAGGCGGTCACAAGACAGACGAAGGTCATTACCGAGGAGCATTTGTGATGGAGAACAGTTGGTAGTCTGGTGTTTCTCTCCGACCCTAGTATGATTTCGGCAGCTTTCTGAGCTGGGTCTTTCAGACAAGGCGTAGGCGTTTCCAGGTGAGGATCCCTTCTGACGATGGATAGTCGTGTCCTCAGATGTTGACTTCAGTTTGTTGTTTTTGAAGTCTAAGAAAAAATTGTATTTCCTTAAAAATTTCAATCCGAGTATGCATGGATCTGTAATATTCGCCACATATGCCGTGTGATGGTAGGCGGCACTTCCAAACGTGATGTTCACGTTTAACTTCCCAGCTATCTCGATCTTGTCACCAGACGCAGTCTGAAGGGTAACACAGGATGGCGTCCAAATACGTTTATCTTTAAACTGTTCAGCTACATCTTTCCTAATGATGGTAACATTAGCTCCTGTGTTAATGATCATATTGCAAGGAACTCCATCGATGTGCCCATTGATGGACAGTCCGTTACTGTTGCCACTCACTATAGAAATCTTGAGTGCTTTAAAACAAGGTTTTCCATTATCTGGCAACCTCCGTTCCTCGATATGGCCATTCATTTGTTTCCTGCGTCGTTGCTGAGAAATGGTCTCAATGTTCGTACACTGGGGTGTTCTGCAATTCTTTCGTACGTGGCCTTTAGCTCCACAGTTCCAGCACTTTGGTTTCTTGTCAATTCTTTTCCTTCCCATGGCATTTAATTGTCTGTTTAAATCGTATGTCTTATTTTCCGTGCTCTAGGGTGTTCTGCAGTTCCTTCGTACGTGGCCTTCAACACCGCAGTTCCAGCACATCAGGGTCGGTTTCGTTTCACCACTATTCCGGCTCAAGGCATTCACTGGTCTTGTCAACTCATCCGTTTTATTATCCGTACCCTGGGGTGTTCTGCAATGCCGTCGTAGGTGACCTTCAGAACCACATCTCCAACACATTCGAGCCCCTTTGTTCTCACTACTACTCCGTATCAAAGCGCGACTTGTCTGGATAGATCATCTAAACGAGCCATCAGTTGATCCACTGGCTCGTGGACTCGCATATCTCTGACTGGGTAGCGGTCCCTATGAGTTGCTTGCTGGGCTGCCTCGAATTTCACGGCGTACAACAGAGCGCTTTTTAAATCTTTAACATCCGCCATTCGTACAGCCTTCTGTATTTCGGGATCCCGGATGCCATCGATAAAGTACTGCAGGGACAGGATTTCCCTCGTTTCTTTCGGGCACTCCGTAAAGGCGAGGTGGGACAGCCTTTCAACATCCGTGGCGAGTTCCTGGAGTGATTCGGTGGGCTTCTGTTGACGGGAATTTAATTGAAGCCTGCTGTAGTCTTTTAAACATTTTTCGCCAAAGCGCAGCTCCAATGCGCCGGATAGAGATTCGAAGTCAAGTCTTTGGTTTTCGGGAAGCGTCTGCAGGATATCCGCTGCGTCTGCTCTCAGCGAAGCGGTGAGATGACAGGCCTTAGCTTGGGAATCCCATACATTCGCATCCGCAACTATAGAAAATTGTGTCTTATACACCTGCCAGGAGGTCTTCCCATCATAAGTCGATAGCTTCAGAGAGGGACGATGGTGTAATGGGTAGAAATTTAAAACCTTCCGGATTGCTCCCTGCCGTCGCTACGAATTTCTTTAAATCATCAACTTCTTTGGTGACCGCAGAAACTCTATCATCAATTTGTTTTTTGATTTGGTGTTGAATATGTCCTTGAACGGCAGAAACTCTTTCTTCAATTTGTTGTTGGAAGGCCGAACTCTTCCTTCGACTCGTTGCTCCACAGCCGACACTCTATCTTCTATTTCATCTTTAACAGAAGAAACCTTTTCTTCAATTTGTCCGACTTTATTTTCGACAGCTCCTGTTCTGTCTTCCATAGCCTGAAATTTACTTTCTATTACGTAGGTTATTTCTCTTTTCATTTCGTCTTGACCTGCTTCAATCTTTTCTTGTACAGCTTTTATGTCTTCTTTAAAAGTTACTTGACCATCTTCCAACTTTTTCTGACCAGAATTCATCTCATCTTTCAGGGATTTCACCTCTTCCTTAACGGATTTTTGACCAGCATCCATTTTCTCTTTAATTTCTTCTTTAAAGGATGTTTGCCCAGCTTCCATCTTTTCCTGGAAAGCAGCAAAAGCAGTAATGAGCTGTCTCACTTGTTCTTCCATCCCATCTTATTCCAGACTTCCTACTGCGATTCAGAGAGCGGCGATATGGAGTCATAGCGGACATTACAAAAGCTTTTCTACAGATAAGTATTCGAAAAGAGGATAGAGACTCCCTGCGATTTTTATGGTGGGAAAACATGGAAGAGGGAAAGCTCAGAGTTTTTTGACATGCCAAACTTGCTTTCGGTGCAAAATGTAGCCCTTTCCTTCTGGCCTCAGTTACTGAGCACCACATTGAAAACAGTGAAGATTTTGAAGTTGCTTTTAAAAGGAGACTCTTGCAATGTTTCTATGTCGACAATGTCGTTACTAGTGTTGACACTAAACAACAGTTGGAAACGTTTGTTTCCGATTCTAAGATATTGATGTCCAAAGGCGGTTTTGACCTAAGAGGATGAGAATATTCTGGTGAGTTCGACGGAATCAACAATAAGAAAGAAACACAGGTATTAGGTATGCTTTGGAATAAAGAACTGGACACGCTGAAAATCAATATGGGATGGTTGAATGACTTTAATTTGGAAAAGATAACAAAACGAAGCATGTTATCTGCCGTTCATAAGGTATTCGATCCTTTTGGGTTTTTCTCTCCCGTTATGCTCTGTCCAAAAATTATGTTACAAAAGGGATGGAAGAAAAGTGTCAGTTGGGACGAGAAGTTGACTGGCGAACTTCGTAAAGATTTCTTACAATGGCTTGAAGAATTAAAATGCTTAAGTGAGATTGAAATTCCCAGATTTATTCAAGTCACTTCAGAAAATTTAAGTAGTTGTGCTCTTCACACTTTTGTTGATGGCAGCAAAGACGCTTATACAGCGGTTACATTTCTAAGGATTGAGAACAACGATCGAGTTGAACTGTTCCTTCTTGCTGCAAAATCTCGAGTTGCTCCTTTAAGAGGGGCCACTATCCCAAGAATGGAGCTTTTGGCAGCCGTTATTGGTGCCAGATTGACAGATTCAGTAACCAAAGCCCTCGGATGGGAAAGAGTTAACAAATATTACTGGAGTGATTCCACAACAGTGCTCGCATGGATTAAAAGAGATGAAAACTGGTCTGTTTTCGTGCGAAACCGTGTTAAGGAGATCAGAGAACTCAGTAAACCTTCAGCTTGGAAGCACGTTCCTGGAGAAAGAAATCCTGCTGATCTGCCATCCAGAGGTTGCAAGGCGAAATATGTAATTACATCAAGATGGTGGGAGGGACCACACTGGATGAAAGATCCTACCGAATTCCTTAATTACATGGATTCCTGTAACCACCATAGCTGTAATGAAGAAGAGATTCAAAGGGAGAAGTTGAAAACTACTAGCACGATGACGAATAATGAAACCGTTTGTGATAATAATTGGTACTACGGGCATTTTTCTAATTATGAGAGAATCGTACGTATGGTCACCTGGATTCTTCGTTTTAAGCATAATTGTACAAATACCGAAAGCAGGAGATACGGAGAATTGAATACAACAGAATTTCGTGACGCAGAGTTAAAGATATTACGTATGATTCAAAAGGAATCCCTTGATTTGGAACATGATAGACTCAAAACACTTCAGGTATTTAAAGATGATCGTGGCATTTATCGTGTGAAAACTAAGATTATTTACAGGAAGGATAGTGAAGATTTCCTGAAACCGGTCGTCTTTCTTCAAACCACGAAGTTGTGAAACGACTTGATTTCTTTGTTCATGTGAAGAATTGTCACGCAGGTGGTCAGATACTTTTGAATCTGCTTAGAGAAAAATAATGGATTCTTAACAGAAGAAAGACTGTAAAAAACATTGTGGCTAATTCCACAATCTGTAAAAGATATAATTCAAGGAACATGGAAACGATATGCGCACTCTTCCTGAAAATCGTGTTAAAGATGCTGCGGTATTTCAAATTACAGGTGTTGACATGGCTGGTCCTCTGTTTCTAAAAGAATGTAGAAAGAGTTGGGTCTTAATATTCCCTTGCGCAGTGTACAGAGCAGTACATTTTGAGCTAATTACTGCAGCTTCCACAGACGCCTTTTTAATGGCATTTAGAAGATTCGCAGAGGTAGATGTACTATTGTATACTGTGACAATGGATCTAATTTTTTTCGGAGCAGCCAATTCATTAAAACAACTAGATTGGAATCGTATACAGAAACATAGAGTCGTCAATTCGATTGATTAAAAGTTTAACCCACCCACTGCCGCGTGGTGGGGAGGTTGGTGGGAGCGACTAATAAGAATATTGAAAGATCTCTTAGAAAGAGTGTTAGGTAAGGCACATCTCAATTATGAAGAAATGGAAACTGTTCTGGCAGACTGTGAGAGCGTAATCAACTCAAGACCTCTGACTTATATCTCTGAAGCAGATGTGATAAAGCCCATTTCTCCATCGATGTTTTTGCAAGACATTCATGAATGCAGTGTTCCAGATATTGATGATGCTGTGGGACAAAATTCTTTGTCCAAGAGACTGAAATACAGACAAATCATACTTAAAAGAACTGAGGAACCGATTTCTGCCGGTATACTTAGGTGCTCTCATTCAACGAGAGAGCAATAAAAAACTAAGACACCCAGTGGCTGTGGGTGATATTGTTCTAGTGGGAGCTGATAACAAAAAGAGAATTAACTGGCCTTTAGGTCGTATTAGTGAGCTTCTGCCAGGTAAAGACGGTAATGTGCGGCTTGTGAAAGTGCAGCCTTTACACCAAGAACTTCTTCGTTTTATTCAGAGAATATATCCTCTTCAGATAGCATCTCCTACTGACTGTCCTAAGACTGTGGAATCCAATAGTTTGACCAAGTTCTCAAAGCAGCCTGTTAAACAGGATAATGAAGTGTTTGACAACAAGCCACAATTTAGTAGGACTGGTAGAAAAATTAAGATTCCAGAAAAACTGAACTTATAATTTAAATAAGTACTTTAGCGAAATACGTTTTTATTGGTTGTTATTATTAATTTCTGAGTTTTATTTATTTAGTATATTTAATGGTAATTTTATGTTTTGATTATGGTTTATAATCAAAAGGTGGGAGGATGTTAATAATGCCTTACTTATTTTGTTAGTATAATTTAGCTACTTGTGTATGGCAACAGTAGGAGATATTCAAGTTGGAGAACGATGTAACAACGCGAGGAGCGTCATTGTTTCTTTCCTGATAATAAAGTTTGTTTTCTTTGAAACTTATTCTATTGTGTAAATAATCACCGCAGTTATAGTGTTTTAATGATAGAGACTATCTTTAAATCTACGATGCGAGTCTTTAATTAAAGGCTACTTCGTGCTGAAGTGTGATTTATGATTTTAAGTACTGAAAGCTGAAAAAGTCGGTGATACTTTTTTCTTGTAAGCTTTAACAGTAGGTAATGTGCAAAGCGGAGGAAGAGGGAAACAAACTTTTGAACTTAAAGATGCGGAAGTCGTTAATGTGCACATTACCTATGTAATATGCTGAAAATTCTTGATTCCGCACTTTAACAGAGCAGTTAATCTGCAGATTAGCTAGGTAATGTGCACATTAACGACTTTCGAGTTTAGCGGGAACATATACACATGAATATCGAAATTTAATAGGAAAGTACATAAATAAAAATTCTGAGCAATACAGTGGTGTTAAGTTAGAATACAGCGCCACCTATTGTAGAGAGAGAGTGAGATTCTCACTTATCCATTGGTTTCGACTGCGACAAAATGCTGCAGCATTGTAGTACTTATAATTAACAATTGCAGTAAATAATTAATTAATAAAATACAGTTGTTTGTGATCTTTTTTATAAGTCACTCATTTAGTTTACACTTTATAGAAACAGATAACAATTTTCAAAAATCCTTTAGTGTTTCCTTTTAATTTGGGTGATTCCTCTTTCTCTTCTAAAAATAGCGACTGTTTAGAGTATTTGCTTTAAACTTCGCCATCTTAAAATTGATCGCTGCCATGCGATTCTTTCGTAACGCTATTGATACAGGTATTTACAAAATTTCAAACTGAAACTCAAACAACCAGTCAAAACGAAATAAAAATCAACCTTTAAAATATAATTGAAAAAAATTTCAAATATTGAATTACGCTGAATTATTAGAAATTTATTCTTCATTTTTGAATTTCAAACTATTTCACTTTTGAAGTTTTAAAATCTCGTACCTAAACTGTTAGTATTAATCTCATAGGTATGCAAGCTGTAAGAAACACATTCAAGACTTTTATGCAATTTTATAGATTGAAAAATAGCTCTCTTGCGATAATTTACTATTTCTAATTTGTTTAAATACAAAATATTTTGTTATTAACAATTTTCTCGTATTTTTACTTCCGTTAACTGACATACTGAGAATTGCTTTAGTTGTGGATATAAAATTTATAAAACACAACTATGGAAGTTCGGCATTCCAGAACTGCCATTCTATTGGAAATTTCACAAATTAAATACACTTGATGTTAAAAAACTTAATTATTATAAGTAAAAGAAAAATATAGCTTATAGAATTAATGTGCATTGTAATATAAAAGAATATAATACACCTTACAGAACTAATGTGAATTAACATAGTATAACTGGTAAACTTTTCTTGAAATAACCTTCGAGTTGGAAAATATTTCTCACCGAATTTGTTAAAGCTTCTTATTAATACCGAAATACATATTCACAAAACATTTCTGTAATTATTAAATTTTATTACAGTTTTTGCAAATATCCGATTAGAACAGGTTTGACAGTAAATAAATATCTAGCTGCCCTGGAAATATATGCACAGAATTAATTTTTCAACTTAATTTAAATTTTTTATCATAATTTCTCTTCGCTAGTGTCAGTTTTTGAATTATACAAGTATTTGGAGCAGAAGCAGTACTTCCGTAGAATTATGTGCTTGATGCAGCTGGACTGTTGACCGTAGACGTTTAGCCTGCTGACATCTCCCAGTACTTCGACAGCTCCGTTACCAACCAACACAGTGGCTTCAAAAATTCCTTTACTAGGTTCAGCTTCAATCACTACTCTGACTTTGGCTAAAGAGGGTCTGAGGTCGTTTTCCTCAGCTTTGTGTACCATATGTGCGCTTCGAATGGCTCCGAGTGTTAATCGTACACACTGTCCTTCATTTTCGCCCATCTCACCATTAAATAACATCTCATTGATACGGTTTATGGTAGCTTTCGCTGCAGCTACAGCGCGAGCGTCTGATACTACCATGGCAGATTCCGTCTCGCATACACAGTAATGGTCCGGTATTGAAGCACTTGAACAGTTACGGTCAGCTGGAACAGGTGCAAACAAAGATTGGCCTAAGCATTCTTCGGGAGGAGAAGATTGTCCCAGTGGTTGACCAGTGACTACTCGATTTAGAATGTCGGATAGAGTAGCATGTGTATCAAATGGAGTCACAAGTCGACCTTTGTTGATTGCCAAATTGTCCATAATTTCTGGTTGAAGCGAAGATATACTTTTTGGAATATGGATGGCAAAAAATGGCATTCGTTCTTCGATTGCTCCTACCTGTGAGAAAGGAAAAAAATATTTTAGATTAATATAAAGTATTAAGAACAGAAGCATAATATGATCCGCTTATAAATTATGCGTAACTATGTAAAGTTAATGAACTTTGTCAAATACTTATTAGCTCAAAGGGACAATTTGTTCAGAAGGGCTTTTAATTTGGTTTTGTCATTTTGCGTTGGTTCGTTCACTATAAACGGCGATTCATTTTTCAAATTGTTGCCAGCAAATATTAGAGCCCTGCATTACATTTAAAGAAATTAAGTGGAATCAGCATGAATGTATGAATGTTTCTCGCACTGGGAAAAAACGGCGGTACCAGAGACATCAAATATTGAATAACGTGGGCAGTCCCCCTCTCGAATATGGGCATCTATCTGGAAGCCCAAATTTGGAATTTGTTTTATTATCTATTTCAAAGCGATTCTAACGATTTCAAAGCGAGCAATGGCAACATTGTACGGAAAAAAAAAAAAAAAAAAAAATCTGAACCCCTTCAAATTTTATATTACGTCCAAAAGGCCGTTTTCTTAACGTTTTGTGTGTTACTTTTATTTATTAAATATCACGTTCTTCGCACTTAAACCATACAATTCAATTCAACAGCAATATCGCAAAATAATATAAAAAGAGCATATTTTTAGAGTTTCCGATATAATATCTCGCGGGGTGGAGACAAAATGTCTCTCCCCGTACAGTGCTGCCATTACTCCCTTTGAAATCGTTACGTTTCTTAATAAAAAGCTCATAAATGCTTTACAAAATATGAACTAGATAATAAATCAAATTCCAAATTTGGGCTTCCAGATGCCCATATTTGGGTGGAGACGTACATTATTCTGAATTTAATGGCTCTAAATACCATTGTTTTATCACAATGCGAGGAACCTATATAGATTTATGCATATTCTTCATTATTTAATTTCTTTAAATATAATATAGGACGATAATATTTGGTGGCAGCAATTTGAAAAGTGAAACGAAGATTTAAAGTTCTCGACGCAAAATAACAAAACGAAATTAATAGCCCTTCTGGGCTAACGCCCTTTGGGCTAAAAACATTAATGGAGCCCCTGTTCTCTGGTTCTCTGTTGAATTGAATTTTACGGTTTAATTGCGACGAACATGATATTTAATTTGAAGTATATCAATCTAAGTACAGGGTTTTAAAAACTGTTACGAGCAGTTTTCCTGAAATTTAAGAAAATGTTATAATTTCAAATGACGGAATTCTGTACTATGAGATGATTATAGTCAGATATTAATAATAATAAAAAAAGCCTATTATATGAAGATAAGAACTGTAAAATTGGATTGGATGTTTTCTATATAAAATACAGTAAATAATTATAAATTAAAAATAATGATTAAAATTTCAAAAAAATAATTTTTGCTCGTACTGCTTTTTAAATACCGTCTATCGCAAACAGAGTTTCAAACTTAACTACAACGTCAAAGACCGAAAAGATATGAAGTAAAAAAGGAATGCCGTTCGATTCCATGATTTAAGACACATTACCTGAATTAATTACTTTCAATAATTAATAATAGATAAATACAAAATATGGGAGAAAAAAAGACACCAAAGTCGCAGAGTCGTAGCTAGGGTTTTCAGCGCCCAGGGATAACTGAAGATTTCGCGCCCCCTACTGCTTGCCAAGAATGGAAAACATTTAATCCTAAAATGTCGTAACATCAGTTTGGCGCCCCTTGGATTGTGCGCCCGGGAACAGATGACCCCCCTTGCCCCCCTCTAGCTACGCCCCTGCAAAGTCGAAATCACGGAAAAATATATCTACATATCCCTGTTTTAATGTTATAGCAAAAATCCTGTATTATAGAATTACATATCACATAATACTACAAAATTAAGCTAAATTTAAATCCAGATGCTCTGTATTTTGCAGCTGGAACTTACTTCAAGAAATAAGTTCAAATTATCATTAAATTAAGGATAATTTGTTGTTCTAACTTTGTAAACGAACATCAGCATGTTCATACATTATAATGTAAAACTTCGCAAGAACTATGAATTATTTATTAAAGAATAAAAGGAATCATGGAGCGACGTTATAAATAAAAAATGTCATTAAGTTCAGATGTAAATTTTTGTGCACAATTTTATGACTAAAATAAATAAATAATTAAAAAAATAAATAAATTAAGATGTCGAATTTTAGTTTTCTATGTTCTTTACATTACGCGCCCGCATTAAATCATACATTCACTTTATAAAATCTTGTCTTGGAATCAAGACTTTCCAAAGTAATTTTTGTTCTTGTTATGAAATTATTATCCTCATAGTTATACTTTTCTGTGCAATACTTTATTAGAAATTTATAACTGCAACTATTTTTGATATTTCCTACCGAGTTTTCGTTCAATAGATGGCAGCACTACATACGGAAAGAAAGCGGTAGTCACTTTCCAAGTTCAAGCTTTATTAAGAGAGATGATGCAGCGTTAAGTGTCCGCATAATTTTTTTTTTTTTCAGTCTTTCTCAGTTCATTAATGTTCAGTTTTCTTATTAAGATGGCTTTACAAATTTTTTTGTCTTTTTATTATTAAGGTCTTACTTCATCTATTAGGTATCACCTTCAAAGTGCTTACGCCACATAAAATTTGATTCCGCAGCAAAATCACAAAATATTTAAAAACAGCATATCTTAAGAACTTACGATTGACAATTTTGCGGGCTTGAAATAAAAATCTTTTTTTCCGTACAGTGTTAGCACTGTTCGTTTTGAAATCGTTGAGTTTGTTAATGAAAAATTCGTTAACGTTTTATAAAATATGAAATAGATAATAAAACAAAATCGAAATTCAGAGTTCTGGCGTCCAGGTGCCCATGTTCTGGTGGAGCATTACGTTATTCAAAACTTGACGGCTCTAGGTACCGTCGTTTTTTCATAGTGCGAGAAACATATGTACACTGCTCAAAAAAAAAAAAAAAAAAAAAAAAAAAAAAAAAAAAAAAGGGACAGTGCTATATCTCCCGTTCTACTGGGCCGATTGACAAAATTCAAACTGCGTTTTTCATGTCTCGAAAGCGCGACTTAGGATATATATTAGATTTATATATAGCACTATTCTAACATAGGTATTTTGACACAAAATCGGACTTTTCTGAAATAACATACCAATTTTTTTCCATATTTCGATTCTACGGCTCAAATTATGCCAGAATACCAAGTTTTGTAAAAATCGTACGAGTAGTTTTTAAAATATTAGCTCTCAAAATTTTAGAGCTCCTCAATGTTAATTGAATTTGGCAAATATTTATTAATATCTCTTTTTTTACTAAACTTTTTTTTTATATTTTCTCTCACATTTCGAAATTTAGGTTCATTCCAAATAAATTTTTACCCATTTTTTGCGTTTTATTTTTTAAATTTCTATTTTTAAATAATTTTTATAAATTTTTCGAAAAAAATTTTGAATTATAACCTATACAGTTTTTACCATCATCATAAAGTAGGTGTATTTTTAAGCATATCTGCAAAAAAATTAGACTTTTTATTCAAAATTTTCTAAGATATACACGAATTTACATATTTTCGCGTTTTGAAATTTGGCATCTTTTTTTTGAGCGATAATAACGCCAAATGTGGTCTATGGATTTTTGTTACACTGAATTGCCACAGCTATTTTTAACCTTAAATTTCAAGTAAAATTTTTACGAAGAATTAATTATATGAAATTTTTTCCCACAATAGGCGTAATAAATATTTATTAATATATATGAAAATCTATTTTTTAAATTATAGATGATATTATTCAAATTTTTAACAATTTTTTTAAATTTCTCTCTTTCTTCTTCTTTTTAAAAAAAATAAGAGTACGTTTTTCTAAGAGTAAATTTTTTACCTTCGGCGTTTTATCGTCTGCTACTTTACTTCGTTTAAATCGAATTGTCTAAAACTGAGAATTTTCGTTTAATGTTTATTGAATTTAATGACAATATTTTTGACATTAACTGCATAATTTATTTCTAAACAAACTGTTGCTTTTGAAGTGGCTGAAAGAGTGGCAGATACTATCATCCATATTTTTAAAGCACAGTATATTTTTTATAGAAATATAAGATTTAGAATAATCAATTTTTATAAAAGTCAAATTATGATATAAACATACAACCCTGTAGAGACTGAATTAATGGAAGTTCAATAGTTATGTAGAAATGATCTGCAGCTACTTAATGGGCAGGATAAGTCAGCAGATTCTGTGGACAAGCAAGAATAATTATATAAACGACCACCCAAATTCTGTATTTTTGTATTTAATGTCAATTTAATCTGTAAAATGTATTTTTGTGCGTAGCTTATTTTCATTATATCCTTAAAATTCTAATTTAGAATGTAATTGTCAAGAACTGAATCCTAATCATCAGTAATATAATAAGTAATTATTATGGTTATTAATAAATCCTTCTTATAAAGTAATTGCAAATATTTTCAAAAAACTTTCTGTCTGAATGCAAATATTTTTCTATGCAAAATTTTTAATTTATATTAATCAAGATTGCACACGATATTATTTATTTGCACTTCAATTTTTACCGTCAGCTCTAGTAGAAGTTACAAATCAATTATATTTAATTAAGGATTGGATTGGATTATTTAATTATGGCAAAGCACACGAGGGCTATCTGCCTAGAGGGAGGGATGCCTTCGTGGAGGGCTTTCTAAGGTAAACTGGCTCGTATACACGTTACACATGGGGAAAAACCACTAAAACGCCCATGCAGCCAGCCCGTTCGCGGGATTCGAACTTGCGACCGAACTACCAGCGTCTTTACCGCTCGGCCGCTGGTGGGCTATTTAATTAAGGAATGACCATCTAAATTTAGAAACAGCGTACCGTAACAGCAATTCAATTATTGGCGCCGCATCTTTCATGTTACTCCCGATTGGCAAGCTACATGATTTTTAATGAGTATTCGGGTTTTGCTAGTAACTTCATTTGGAAATCGCGCTTAAACTAGGTTAGTTGGTTATTT